GTCACTCCTGTAACAGTGCTGTCGAGGAGAGGAGTTTGGTCACACAAGTAAAATTGGACACATCTGTTAGAAAACAACTCTCTGAACACATAAACTTAYAGTGTGTTAGGTTTTAGATACCAACGTCTCAGATAGCTCAGGAGAGAAGTGTGGAGGACGGGGTTTGTTCACTCAGGACAGGAGCTGAAGGCTGACCGGTGTTTATCCTGCAGACTGCTGCATCGACATCAGAAAGACCCGCCCTGCTCTGCTCTGCTCTGATTGGATAAAGCTGTGGGGTTCGTTTGATTTGTTGAAAGCAGCGTCTGTTTAAATCTGTATCAGAGGGGGCGGCTTTAATGAGACCGCAACAGAAAACAAGCAGGTTTCTCTTTTCCTCATTTGTTAAATACCAAAAATACCGACATGAGCAAAAACACGTTGGTTATTGTCATAAATGTCGGTGTCGGTTATTACTTGGTTCATCGCCCAAGTCTAGTTCGGATTGTCGCAGTTTCATGACGGAAATTGTGTCATTCTGTTSGCATTGTCGACATTTTGGCAGCTTCTTGACACAACCCACGGGTCAAACCTTTTATACCGCTCCACATAAGAACAGATTGTGTGATTGGTCAGAAGTTTGTGGGAGTGTTTGTTCATGCTGAAAGCACTCAGACACTGCATTTACCACTCGCTTCAAAAAACAAAACAAAACAAACAAACAAAAAAACGACTCACTTCCAGAAGCCGACTGTTGCACCAGGAAGCAGCAGTTTATAAAGAGAGTCAAACGTCCAAACACTCATAAAAGTGTATAAAACGAGCAGTTTGCACGGTGGAATCTAACTGATAAAACTTTGGAGCTTTAACCGGGACAGATTTATGAATAAATAACATCAGGTGACGGGTAACAGACTGTTTTTTCAGCATCGTAGACTCCAGTGGGAGGAAGCCCCCTGTAGTGATGTTTGCTGCAGCAGGAGGGGTTTCCCAGGAGCTCAGCACGRAGTGTATCAGGGACCATGAAGCTGTGTGTAAAAATGAACGCCGAACAACAACGTGACTGCGCATCGACTGTTCAGCTTCAGCGGGAGTATGCAGGAGCCTTCATAATACACTAAGCTAAGGCAAACCCTGAGTTTGTTAGAAAATGTAGCTGTTTTTAGTTTTACACAGTTTTGTTGCTGCAACTGAAAATGAAGATTTGTAATGAAGAAATCAATCTCCCAGCTGCCCTTCTCTCACCAGTACTGTGTAAATGAGCTGCTCATGGTCCTTCGTCAGCTGGGTCATACAGCTTCGAAACTCCTGCAGCCAGTTGACGATCTGAGCGTCCTGTCAGAGAGGAGAGACAGCTCACTGTTACTCATAGAGTTCCTTAAGGTTTAATAACTGGACCAGTACTCTTTACTTTATCTGTGTTAGTACACAGCACAGACATATTTTCATTGTTTTACTGATAATAGTGTTTTTTCTCCACAAAACCCAATGAATCCAATCAGTTACTTGTGTCTCTGTCCTGTTCACTCAAAGTCCAGCATGCTGAGGCAGACAGCTGCTTGTTATGATGAGCCTGGTTCTGGTTTTGCTGGAGGTTTCTACTGGTTCAAAACAAATCAGTCCTTTCCACTGTCGCCCATCACCTCATGCTCACATGAATGCATAAAGTGAATTTTCAATACAATATGCTGTTTTTTTACTGTCTTTTTGTCCTCTTCTGAGTTGT